ACTCATTTGGTTAAAAATTCCTTAGCCGCTACGTACACCAGCCCCACCACGGCGACAATGGCTGCCCACGAGACGATGCTACCCAGGATGCCGGGCAGGGATTCGGCGGCCTTACCAGCGAGTTTAGCCAGGGCCTCCCCGAGGGACTTCAGGTGTTTTTTTTTATCCAGTCTCTGGCACCACCAGTGGGTGTTGGTGTTGGTGTACCACTGCCGCCGGCAGGCGTCAATGACACGACCAGGGTTGATATGATGAAGCCCAATGCAGCCAGAATGCTGGCGATGGTGATGACTTGCTCTCGGAAGAGGATTCGGATCCTGTCAGCTAGCGTGGTGTCCTCATTTAGGACTCGATTGATGGTTTCCCGTACACGACTGATCTGGGATCGGAGGGCTTCCCGGTTCGAGGAAGCGGATTCCAACCGAGTCCGTCTCTCGTCTTCCAAATTTTTTATTCTCTCCTCGATATGACGTTTCATATCATCGTCCTCTGTTTCGGTGAGTTTTTTTTTCTCACGAGCGATGTGCTCGTCGACTTCGTTCAGTTTCCCCATGTTGTTCACGAGTTCTCCGCGTACATGTTTCAAGACTTCGTCTAGACCATACAGTTCTTTCAGTGGAAATTGTTCCAGTACGCGCTCAACAGTTTTTCAACGCTGTCCGACGTTTCTTTAGCATGTTGGGGTATATCACCTTCACCGCTGAGTTCGGCCCTGGCTGCTTGCAGATCTTGGACGACCTTCGGGGGAAGCTTAGGCCGTGCGCCCCCGTAATCTATGAAGCCTAGTTCCTCACAGAGCAGTTGACTCCCACCAGGGCGACTGGTGAGTGTTGACAAAGCATACGGTCCTTTCCCGTCTTTTTTCATGATATCGAGCCCCGGGTGAGCCTTCAATCGCAGCGTGCCCTTCTTATCGATGGTAAACTTGGCATAGTCTCGTACCAACGGCTTGATGTTGTCTCTATTTTCAACTGCTTCGTAATAATCATCGACGGCCGGCTGTACAAGTTCAGCACTTACGGGATTGTTCGTGAATGTGGTGTCATCCTCCCCAAACGTCTGGGCACTATCATCCCACATATCATCCATTGGGCTGTCCTCATGTCCGCCTTCAGCCATTATTTATATTACACTTTTATATTTTATCTATATAACAATGTATGGCAGGAAACTAGATCCTTTCCAAAGATCAAGAGAGCCTCTAGGCGTCAGAGCCGTGCGCCAGTCGGTGACCCACAATCCCAGCAAGATAGACCAGAATCAAACGCTGCTGGTTAGATTCCCAAACCTGTGCGAGAATGACCTTATCATACCAGGCACGGTTCGACTGACGTTGAACCTCACGTTGACCTCCGACAACGACAAACGCGAGCTAGTGCGGAACGTAGGTCGGGCCATCATCAAGAAAACCACCATCAAGATCAGCCGTAATGAGGTGCTGAGCATCGATGACAGCGACGTGTTTCACTGCTACGGGGACCTCTGGAAAAGCGAGGGAGAACGCGTCAATGATGTGTACCAAGGCATCAGCAAATCAACCCGGTTGCTCGTGGGGTACGGCTTCACGGCAGACCAGCTAGACAAGATCTCGGACGGTGAAAAGGCCATCGCCCAAGCGTACGGGAATAGGTTCTGCGTGCCGCTCGACTTTGAGTTGCTCACGGGACATGCGCCGTTTTACCAGGCAGCGCTGGGTGATAGGCTTGAATACGAGCTCACGTTTAACGACTACAGCAAAGTCGTACGTACGCCGAAGGTGATGAAGCCAGTTACACCATCGACAACATCTCTCTGGAGTTCGACATACTCACTAGCCCCGGAACTGGCCAGGCAGGTTCGAAACCAGTACTCGGGGAAGGTGGTCATCCTGTACGATAGGGTACTGAGGCATAGAGTGATCGTGCGGGATAAGAGTGACACGTGCGGGCGAGATCAATGAAAGGCATCCTGATTGTCCCCGTGGAGATTACGAGCCGTTCCTAAGGGACAGCGAGAAGTTTTTCAACCCTGAGATTGAAAAGGTGGAACTGACAATCGAGGGCGTGCCCAACCAGCTGTTCAGCGCCAGTATGAGGGCACACTAGCAGTGGGACGAAATAATGAAACTACCGACCCGACACCAACACGTCATCAAGGAGGGAGGGGATAACAATCCAGATTACCAAGAAGGCTCAACCCGCGGGCCAGTTGAAATTATATCTGTACGTTATTATGGACGCGCAACTTAATATAGACAATGGGAGATTCGTGCAAGCCATCTATTGATTTGCCCCGCGACCCGCACTGCGCCATAGTGTGTGGGCAGACTGGTTGTGGGAAGACCGTTTTCGTGCTGGATATGTTGGAGGGGGTACTACTGGGATGTGTTCGTCAACATCGTTATCACGTGCCCTACTCTGCACATGAATAGAACGTACACGGAAAGACCTTGGGTGATGACGGACCCGGACGTACACAAAGTCGACCCGGGAACACATCTGCAGGACTGGTTGAAAGCTTATCACAACAAATTCAAGGGGAGTCGACGCTGTTTATCTTGGACAACTGCCGCGCTAATCGTGAGATAACAAAAAAGAGAGACATGCTATTGTACCTGGCCTTCTCTGGCCGGCACGCAAAGCACAGCGTCTGGGTACTAATGCAGAAGTTCAACTCGGTGTTGAAAGACCTCAGGGAGCAGACACGATGGGTGGCCTTATTCCACTGCAAGGACAGGGATTCGTTCGAAGAGTGTTTGAGGGAAAACGATGTGATGAATAAACATGATAGGGAATCGGTGAAGAAGCAGCTTGCTGAAACTAAACATGCTAAGCTCGTGCTCAAGACTGACTAACCCGTGTCCTATAGGGTGTTTTAGCTTAGCAATGCTTAGCAATGCTTAGCAATTAATTGTTACAGTTCTATAGGGAAGACCAATGGTTGTTTTTGAAGTGCTCGTCGTGTGCAACTTAACCTTTATCTCATTATGTTTCACCTGCATCGGGTATTATATTATTTAAACTAAAACTTGCTTATTACATTATAAGATGGAGTGTGATGAACTGCTAGAACAACTGTTGGTGGAGGGGGATAAGCGAGGGGACGATGACAAGACTGAGAGACTGGTGGCGCTGGCAGTCGGTGGTAAAGCCAAACATTACTTTGGGGACTACACTCCCGATAAAATTCACAAAATGTCAGCCGAAGAAATTGATAAGCTGTACGCTAGATACAAGGCTAGACTCGGGGTCGAGATGACAAAGACTATAGGATCGGTTATGACCCAGATCTACACTGGTATAGTGTCGTACTTCCTTCCCATTCCCCAGGAATGTCGACTTTACCTGTGGGAGGACCTTGAGAAAGACCCGTTTATTGAACTTGCCTTGAGCTCTATCAGTTGCGTGCTGTACCACAAATACGGTATGTTTTTAGCCCCGATGACGGCGGCAATTATCACAGCAAAAGCATTGCCAATTTAAGGAGGGGAAAAATAATAATAATAGTATACAAGATGGATGCTGCCCAAGAAATGACACAGGAGGAGACCCCCAGGGAGGTGACCCCTCCAGAGGAAAACCCCCAGGGAGGTGAATCCTACAGTCACCAGGCAGAAGAACCCTAAGAGAGTCGCCGCCGGTCTAACCAACATAAGAGTAGCTACGCTCCACTGTGGAGCCAGGCTCCACTCCTGTTGATTGCAGGCGCAACTGCTGCCGTGGCTATCTCATGGTTATATAATAAACAATCACCCAGGGAGGGTATCCCTCCCAGGAAGGGTATCCCTCCCCCACAATTAGAGGTCAACCCACATATCATGTTATAAATATATATTTTTATATCATATACATAATGTCTGAGGGGAAAACGTTCGTCAACGATGCATACCACGCCACCGTGGTCGCCAGTCTAGCCGTAGGGTACGCTCGGTTGACCAAAATGGTGCTTAAACAACCGACTATCAAGCTAGATTTCAACCTGCAGGATATGGGCATGCTCATAATGAACCTGGGTTTTGCGATGGCCACCCTAGTGGACCACCCCAAGGACATCCTAGTAAAACAAGGGATCCTACCGGAAATATTTTGAAGTAAATGTAACTATATATAGGATGGCTACGATCGCCATGATGGTCGGCGGGGCGTAAGTAAACGCCCTGGCATTTTCAGGGAGTAATTTCCTCTTCTCGAAAACTACGGGAGTCACATGCGGCTGAGATACAAGCTGATCGTACGCGCCACGACCTGGCCTTTGAGAAATTTCAAGCAGCGCAAGCCGAGTATGTGAAGAAACGTGTACAGAGAATCGATTACATTAACGAACAACTCAGGCGTGAGAACCATGCCGTTAAAACGTTCCATGATGTCGATGACGCAGCGAGAGAATACTACCTACTAACCGGTAAACAGCTAGAACCACTCCCTCCTAAGCCCACACTCGCTCAGTACTACACACCATCCCCGGGGCAAATGGACCGGGAATTGATCTTTATCGCGCTGGGTCTAGCAGCGACTGCATTGGTTGTGAAACAATTAGACTAAGTACTCATATAAGTATACCAAAGATGAGACCCGCCCCGTACCGATGCCAGTACATACTAATGGGGAAGACCGAGGCCTGTGGTAGGAGCTGCAGGACTGAGGGGTACTGTTGTTTTCATATGAAGAGTATCAACTACACGTGTTCTGTGTGTGGTGTCGGGGTGAAAGGTCACTACTGCCAATGCAAAGCTCACGGAGCAAACGTAGTCAGACATCATCTTATCTACGAGAAGAAAAAAGACTACAGAAAAGAACATAGGCGCCTCCTCAGGATAGCAGTGTCGTGGCCCAATTAGAGACTGTGCACACCTAAGTATAACAATGTTCGTGGAAGTTGAGCCCAGGGAAAGTCGTTGCCTGAGAAGCTGGCAGATGGATGTGGGGGGCAGTATAGATATCAGTGTCCTCAAACCCATGATTGTTAGCGAACTATATAAGGGGTGCTCATTGTGGTGAAAAGTAGGGTTTGATGTACCGTGGGCTGGGCACACTTGGAATTACTTTGATGGTGGACGAGTAGATGTGCATGGAGAGATAGATATACTTGTTGATGACTCGTTGCAAATAATACAAAACACCCTACTATGCTGCGCATGTTCCGGGTGGGTTGAGGGTATAATCGATAAGGTCTATCAAGATATTTACTAAGGATTTTATAGCGCCTCTATTTTTTATCAAGGTTGGAAGAGTTACCTCCCTTGCCGGTGGCCCAATTAGAGATTGATATACTTAGGTGTGTACACAATGTATACTACTCGGGAGCGCAAGCAGATCGCGAGACAGCGAGGTGTAATTGGTTACTCTCGAATGAGGAAACTTCAGCTGTTGAGATTACTTAACATACAACCCCCTCCAACGGTAAAACAACTAAAACTCCAAGCAAAAGAGCTAGGGTTGACGGGGTAATTCCCGCCTGGGGAGAGCCGGGTTAGTCGCATTATTAAACGACCCCGTACCAAAGCCCCACACTGTGAAACAACTCAAACAGGAGGCCCACCAGTTGGGGTAAATAGGTTATTCCCGTATGAGGAAGTCCCAGCTTGTAGAACTATTACGGCAGAATAGAGCTATTGACCTAGAGTTCATGCGCACTGAGCGCGCTGTAGGTAACTATCTGAGAGGCTGGCGCATGCATGTTGATAGGAACATAGACATCGCCGATATCAAGCCTCTAATCGCTGATAAAGTCAATGAGGAACTAAACGATTTGGGAAGTATAAAGTTTCAAATCACAGTGAAAATGTCACTCGATAAACAGCATGGGGGAACCCCCAATGGGGTCATTGAGTACGTTCAGCCTTACTTCCGAGGTAAACAAGAAGTCGTGACTCATACCGAGACTACAGACGAGTCAATCGATATCAGTTTTCAGCAGATACGAGAATACCTAGAACGCTACACACACATGGGTTCCGGGTGGGTCGTGGATAAAATTGATAATGTCTATCTAGACATAGCTAACTACGTGCCGTTCAGAGGCGGGTCGTACCTAGACTTGCCCCCCTACTACAAAGCAAAACAGGCCATAGTCAACATCAAGAATAGAGGAGACGATTGCATGAGGTTAGCTATCAGGTCAGCCTTGTTTTCAGCTGACACTAATTCGAACAGGCCTTCTAGTTATCCCAAAGACGATGGGCTCAACTGGGATGATATAAACGAAACCACCCCCATATCTCAGATCACTAAAATAGAAAACCAGAATGATATAGCCATAAACGTCTTTGGACACGAAGGTAACACAACGATCGTGCACAGGATCAGTCCAATGTTGGGGGGACCCCAACGCGTTATCAATATATTCATGATCCAGCGAGGTGATAAGTATCACTACACGTGGATAAAACACCTCAGCAGGCTGTTGCACGATAAGTCGAAACACGACGGGAAAAAACACTTCTTAACGATGCCTCGACGGTTTCAGCCGACCCGACCTGCTGGAATCACACCGGGGGGATTGCCAAGGTGTGGTGCAGACGGCCATACGAGTCGACATGCCCAAGGAAGGTGACAATATCTTAAAATTCGACAACCACAAGAACCAAATGTCCGTGGTTAATGTCATCTACGCCAACTTCAAAGCCTTGGTCAAACCCGTTGAGGCTGGGGGTACCCCCAACACACAAAAAACACAGGAGCACGAGGCCTGTGGGTTTGGATACATGGTCGTCCGATGTGATGGGGAAACGAAAGCTCCCGTAGGGTACAGGGGTCCCGACGCGGCTGAAAAGTTTCTAAAGTGTTTGCAGGAGGAACAGAAAAGTATTAGGAATGCACTATACACAGTCGCTCCCATGCATATGACTCAAGCCGACCGGCTAGCTCACGCCTGCAGCACTCACTGCCATGTGTGTGATAGCCCACTGAACGGTGATTCGGTGAGAGATCACTGCCACGTCACTGGTAAGAATAGAGGCGCCGCTCACAGTGTGTGTAACCTCAAGCTTAGAATCACCCCCAAGACAATAAACTTGAGAGGGTACGACTCTCACTTGATCATGCAGGCCATCGCGAAAGTCGACGGCAACCTGGCGTGCATCCCCAACAACATGGAGAGATACATCTCCTTCAGCTTGAATGGCCCGAGGTTCATTGACTCGGTTCAGTTCCTCCTGTCGTCACTCGACAGTCTGGTCAAGGCCAACGATACCTTCCCCATCACCGACCGATACACCGACGCCGAGACTCGACCCCTGCTGATGAGGAAGGGTGTGTACCCCTACGAGTACATGGATGGCTCGGCCAAGTTCGCCGAGACCCGACTACCCCCCTATCAGAGAATTTTACAGCAACCTGACCGACTCGACAATCACCCAAGACGATTACTGGCACGCGATTAACGTATGGAATAAACTGGGCTGTAAGAATCTGGGTGACTATCACGACCTGTACTTGAGGACAGATGTACTCCTGCTAGCCGACGTGTTTGAGACGTTTAGGAGGACTTGTTTTAAGCAGTATCAACTCGACCCCGCATGGTACTACACCAGCCCAGGTCTGTCGTGGGATGCTTTGCTGAAAAAGACCGGAGTTAAGTTGGAATTGCTCACCGATTACGACATGCACCTATTCATTGAGAAAGGCTTGCGAGGTAGGATTTCCATGGCTACCAAACTGTACGCGAAAGCAAATAATCATTACGTGAAGGGCTACGACCCGAGCAAGCCAACCAATCATATTCTCTACCTACACAGCATGGTAAATAAAAAAGGTCCTAGGTAAGATGAAGGACGAGTGTGCTGGCACGCCCATAGCCGAGTACATAGACTTGAGACCCAAGATGTACTCCATCCTGAAGGCCGACAATGGTGAGATCCGAAAGGCGAAGGGTGTTAGGAAGTACTTGGTGAAACAACACATCAAACACGCCAGATTCAAGGAAGCCCTGTTAAGACCCGTACCTTCAGGCATAAAATGAACACGCTTAGAAGTGATGGGCATAGGATATATGGACTGACGATAAACAAGACGTCCCTGTCACCGATGGACACTAAGCGTTTGATAGCTATTGATGGGATCAACACATACGTGTACGGGCATGAGAAAATTGAACCAAGAACATAGGTGTATATACACGATACCATGCCACGGAACCAAAGAAAGTTTGAGGCTATTTACTACAGCCCGCGTGGGTACTGGAAAGGAGCTAGCGCCTTACATAAGCTGGCTAAAATGGCGCGAGTACCCCCAAACGAGGCCAAAGCGTGGCTTGAAAAACCGGCACCATGCTACGTGCCTAGAAGGAAGTTCGGTATTAACATACCCAATAGCGTTCACCAGGCCGACCTCCTGTTCCAACCCCACGACAAGAGGTACAAGTATGCCCTAACCGTCGTGGACGTGGCCAGTCGCTACAAGGAAGCCGAACCCTTGACCGCGAAAGACTCGGCCCAGGTAGCCCGCGGATTCGAACGCATGTACAAACGCAGTCTGCTGACGTGGCCCACAGAGCTGCTAGAAGATATTTACATTTACATGAAGGGAAACATGCATAGCCTGACAGTAGGCCAGTAGAAGAGATTTACATTTACATGAAGGGAAACATGCATAGCTTGACAGTAGGACAATAGAAGAGATTTACATTTACATGAAGGGAAACATGCATAGCCTGACAGTAGGACAATAGAAGAGATTTACATTTACATGAAGGGAAACATGCATAGTCAGACAGTAGGACAATAGAAGAGATTTACATTTACATGAAGGGAAACATGCATAGTCAGACAGTAGGACCGTAGAAGATATTTACATTTGCATGAAGGAAAACATGCATAGCCTGACAGTAGGACCGTAGAAGAGATTTACAATAATATGAAGGGAAACATGCATAGCCTGACAGTAGGACCGTAGAAGAGATTTACAATAATATGAAGGGAAACATGCATAGCCTGACAGTAGAACATCTGCTCAAAACATCTGCATGAAGAAAACACTTGAAGAGAACCTTTGTAGAATCATTCAGTCCAAACAGTCAACAGAACCATTGCTGCAACCCTGTCACCTCCGCCCAAAAGACCCAAACCAAACCCCTTTGTCAACTCACTGTCTGGATCAGTTTACTGTCTATCATGTTCATTATCTTGTTTTCTTTGTTACATTCAGTATATGTACTTTGCCTCCACTTCGTGTTACATTCCTGCTTGACAACGGTACTAGAATCTGTATCGAGACGTCACACTCTTTCTTGTACTTCCCAGATTCTAAAATGCCACTAAAAGAAGATAACAACTTGCTTATTACACTTAATGCGATACATTTTCTTACCGTGATATATTCGTAAAAAATGTAAGGGAACTTCCTTTTTCATTTACGATTGCAAAAAGTGGGAGATATAAGTGTAGTTGATTGTACAGTAGTCGCTCTTGAAAAATCATTGGTAATGACGTTAAAGTTTCATGTGTACGATTTTCATTTTCAAACAAACATAAAAAAACGGCTAGAAACAAACACTAACACCAATTGTGTGATGCAGGTGATTGTCAAAATGAATGGTCTACGGTGATTTATGGATCTTGAAAACCGTCAAAATCAAGAATGACACCCCATGCACGTGTATGGGGCTACTGCGTTGTGCACGTTCATCCCATAAGTTGTGTTTATGGGTTGTGTTTGTGGTGCGTTCATTAGATGTCTGTGATTGAAAAGTTTGTTAACGCTTATACTTCCTATCCGAATTGAAAGTTCAGGTTACCCTACTTTTATTGAACAGTAAATACCACTGTACATGGGGTTGTTACTGACACTCGATATTTAAGGGTGATAAAGAAACTATTTTCATCTTCTAACATTCGTCACTTGACAGATGGGCATGAGAGCCGATTTACCTTTACAGTAGTATGACAGCAGCAAAGATTTCCATTAACATTAAGGAAAACATACAAGCCTGAAACATTTGAAACACTTACTAGCGGTGGATGCTAATGTTTGTGTTTGCAGGAAGCTGATGTTTCCGGTGTACCATTTGGAATAACAATGGAGAGGTCGACAGTGGTAACATACTCATACATGATAATGTTCTCAGACTATCGGGTGATGTACCAGAAACCGAACAATGAAGAAACATCCTGGTATTCAATGTTATCCTGTTTTAAACCGGAAGTATATTTATGTGGTATGTGTGCCATCGTTTGGTGTATGGGACTATTCAAACTAATGGAGGAAATGGACGTTCGACCTCGAGAAGACGGGGAGAGAAGAAACCCTTCCTGCACATCCACCACAGCGTTAAGTATCATTATAGCGATACAGGTACCATTGCGACAAGGTATGTGTGCTCGTTGTCGTAGAATGTACACAGTACATTCCAATATATGTTTTTCATATATTGCCAATAATATCAAAATCATAATTCTATTTTGTTCTCCCTTCATTTTGTCACTTCTCTCATTTGGAACATATGCAAACATGCATCTAAACACAGCAGTTAAAAGAAAAATGATTGCTAAAATGTACGATTTTAATCCATATTGTTTCAATTTTAGGATTACCATATCTACCCAGGAGTTTACCAAGTCGTGTCTTCTACACATTCTGGTGGTTTTTCTGTATAGTCATTACGTCTGTATATACGGGGAATCTCACAGCAATTCTCACTGTGGTTAGAGAAAAAGTGCCTTTCAATAACCTTCAAGAGCTATCCACAAACACCGAGTTTTCTGTAAGCATGCCAACGGGATCATACATTGAATATGTGGTGAAGGTACGGATCTAAAGAACACCTTCATATATTAGTTTACCATGTCTGACATGTTGACACATTCAGACAGCATTAGTTGTTATACAAAGTGCATCATTTCCACTTTTATATGGATAGATCATTCAAAGTGGAATACGAACGAATTATGAATACTAAACCCTAAACCCAAACAACTCTGATTTGAATTCATCGTATATTTTTTGTTGTTGTAGAATTCTAACGATTCTGTCATGGAAGCGTTATGGAAAAAGACTGTCGCTAGTAGAACCACCGAAATCGTCAACTCCAAAGCCGAGTATCAAGGATTTGTAAAACTCCTTCAGTCTGTAAACAATGCAGTAATTGATGAGGACTTTGCTGTGGCCGCAATCGATCAAGAAGTAAAAGACTTAAAAGTAATGAAAGGAACGATAATCGGCCTACAAATGGCCTTGCCGTTCCCTCTCAACTCGCCGCTTGCAGACATATTTTCAGAGAAGTATGTATCTAATGCGGTCTGAATGATATGCTCATGATAAATACCAATATATGTATTTTCCTCATGCACTAAGGTATCTATTATCTGATACAAAATGATTGTTGCATCAACACAAACACAGAGCGGTTAAAGTGGGACATAATTCTGGCAAACCATTGTATAAACAGTAATAAATAGTAATAAACAAAGGCAAAATACAACACTGACAGACACTTTTCGTCTTTTGTTTTCAGACTTATGTTACTGTACGACAACGGAATACTGACTGGCTGGTTGAAAAAGTGGAGTATCAATAGACAAGACGTTTATGACACCTCAACGCACATGAAACCTCAAACCATGGCTAAATTGCAAAGTGCTTTGGCAGCATGTGGTGGCGGAATTATATTTGCTACTTGTATTCTTGGAACAGAATTTGTCATCCAAAAGTTTAGGCGAACCTGAAGGCGTACATACGTATCTATGCTGTTGGTTAAATACATACATGAGGTCGTCTTCAGTTGAAATGGTGTTAGGATATCGATACGAAAACAAATTGTATCAATTTTATTTCACCGATATATCATACATAAGGACCAACTTTATGGATGAACAACTTCTTTATTCAGGTGAATCTGTATCGAAATGTCGCATCACCTGAATAATGAAATTGTTCATAAATAAAGTTTGTCCTTATCTGATTCACCAACTTCGCTTAAAGACGAGACATATTTTCTATTTGCTTTTTAAATAAGCAGGTGTCAATGAACCTTCGTTAAGTGCTATCATATTTTTCTAATCTGAGAAGAATGCGGAGGTGTCAAAGGTTTCATAAAACAATATTCAGCCAATGCTCTTAAGGCTGTACAGATTTTCAGCGCCCCACTTTTTGTCAGATCTATGATCATGCACCATGTGTTCAGCATGTGCCTGGATAGAACAAAAATGTTGGGAAATATGAAAACTGATTCGTGATTCTGTAAGTAAAGTACGTTCTCGTGAGTTTAGTTACGAATAAATTTGGTCTTAATTAATTGCGGAGTGTTCTGTGTTTTTGTGTTACCATACGCTTGAGTTGACAGTCATATCGTTCCGTGTGTAATGATATGTGCACTTGATAATTAAAAACATATTGTCTTACCTATATTTGGTGGTGTGGTGCTTTGAGCTGAGATAAATACAAATACATCTAACGAAGGAATGTGTACGTGGTATTGATATGCATACCAAATCCATTAGCATATACTAACAAGCAATGGGGAACATTCCTCAGTTATAGTTGATTGCTATTTATTCGAAGTAGCGACGAATCAAACCAAAGCGAGTTAACCTTCAGCTCTCGCTAGTCTCACCTGTTCATTGTTCCTGCCCGTTTTCTCTCGTACACCACAGCTATATGGTCATGCCACTTAAATACAGTTGTTAGTTTGACACTCAGTTACATATTCACATATTGGATATCGCCAAATGACTGGTAGGCCAGAGTAGGCGAGTAAGTTGGAAAAGACCCCAATTGCATGTGTATCAATGGTTCAAAGTAAATTTCCATGCGAACCTGTGGGTTACTTCTTTTTACTCCTTGCTCTTAGAAAGTTAGTTACCAATCATTATTTACCTGTACATTTTTGAGAAGTTGTTTATGTTTGACTATAACACCTTCTTTCCCTTCATTAATCGTTGAATTAAAGTTTACCAAGAACGTGAATGCACGACTGATTTTCCCCCGTTAATGCATCTTCCTACAGGCGCCTGTTGTCCACAAAGACGAGGCCCATGTGATTCCAGAATACAGGTTAATGTTTGTTACTTTTGGCATGAATTTGTCTTAATACTGTCTGGTGTACTTGTTGAAGACATTTCTTTGTATCTATTCTACTTCATAAAAAAATGGCAGCATATTTAAAGTATGCTTCTCCCTATTTTAGACATTTGTTAAGTAAACTGTTTTCTACCTATGACATGTGTCAAGTATCCCAGTGATTATGTTCATTATGTGGCAGGTCCTTCTCTACAGCAAGAACTTAAATCTGATAATAATTTGTACATCTATTTTGGGTCCATGTGCCTGTCAGCTAAATTATTTGTACAATAATATTGACAGTATGACTATCAGAGTGGAAAACGTCAACATGCATGTGGTGTAAAAGCTTAATCAAGGTGACTTTAATTGTTTTGCTGTATGTATGCTAAACAAATGAATGTACATACATGCAGAATATAATATGTTCAGCATTTAAAACTCAAATGACAATACAGATTGTGTTGATTTTTTATGATGATTATTGACTCACGAGACTAAGTATTGCAGTGTCTCAATTGTACCATTTAGACTACCATTCAAAAGCTTGTTTCAATATTAAAATGCACACTTTGTTCACTGACACATCCCAGTATAAGCCCATTATACTTGATGAACCTTGATGTAATTTGTAAACCTTCCACACATGCTAGAATAACAAACATGAACAAAATGTATTCACTGTTCTCACTTTAAAGGACAGTGAACCTGACACCCCTCTTGCTCACTCAGTAGATGGTTCACACCTCCAGCATTTTGTCAATGTGTTCTTATACATATTTCGGTGTCTACACCATTCTTAGTTACATTATTTGACAACATCTGAAACACACTGTTTATTTGAAACACTGTTTATTTGTTTTGAGAAGGGACAGCCTTTAAAAGTGGTAAAGATTGGGGTAGGGTCGCCAAACTATTTGTATTCTTAGAAATATAATATGTAAGCACTATGACAATTTATTGTACATTTTAGGAACTGGCCATATATCGCTAGGGAAGAGCAAGGAACAAAATATGATGTTGTCTTTCCGATTCCAGGATAAGATCTTTTCATAAATTTGCAATATGTAATAGTTTCAGAGGACTTTGTGTAATTGTATAATGACTTCAAAGTGTAGAAAGTATAAACCGGAAGTAACGCCTATTTACCGTATAAATTGGTGTATTGCTTTTAAGTACACTGTCAATGAGTCGTTAATTCGATCAAAATGATTTATGTCTCAAATTCGTTCGCACATGACCCGTGATCACAGCATTTCCCCTTTCCATGGCCTCCCGAAGCACCGTTTGGTATAATAGGTTGTTTACGTGAACGAAAACTGAAGCACGTATGTTGTCCGCGTAATCAGGTCAATGCTAACGTTATCTGCTGAACGCTCATATCAACCGTTACAACACCAAAACTGATCTGTAGAATGTGACATAATAGGAAGTTATTGGTTTGACGACTTTACAAAGTATTTGCTCGATAAGAAATTCCGAGAAACGGCAATATTACAATTACTGTTCAATTACCGTTAGCATTATTTCTCATTCAGAAACAGGTGCTTTGAGCAGAGTCTTCAGTCAGGCAAACTTTCAGCGTCCGTAATTCGTGATATACGAATTACAGAGCAAAAATAAGCTTAATGTCGATTTAAGTTTAGATTTGCCGGATAGGCCTATATTCCAGTACCAGAGTGACGGTAACTACCGCAGCGCGCCAAGCGGACAAGGGGGCGCAACTCAATGAATGTTCCCCATACAAGTGAAGCAAAGTATATCTTAGTATTTGTGAAGCTTCGGGCATTTGTCCCCAAAGAACACACACATACAATGCATTGTATACGTGATTACTGGGATTGGAATTGAACTAGATTTGTGATTGTAGCTTTGATGCAACCACTCCGACGTCATTGGTGGCAGATTATGGTCTGCACAGCTAACGAGAAATGTTTAGCTCAGACAGTGTCAAGTAAGTACCGAGGTTATCATGAACGTTCTCCCACAAACTGCGTACAACAGATTGACAGTTTTGACGGCGGTGACGTAGTGATGTGGTATGTCATCTCCCCCACTGATAGAAAAAAACCCATCGCATACCACTCTCATCTTTCTCCGCATATCTAAACCACACACAGCACATGTGGCAGCAGCATTTATCCGAGTCGCCTCAGTAAACATCGTCATTCAGTTCACGGACACTGGAACGACTTGCACATGCATAACACACCGAGTTGGATAAAAGGTCAGAGCGTACGTTAATTTCTTCCATGGACAAGACATACCTGAGGCCAATTGTGGACACCAGATACCAGATATAATTTTTTCTCATGACCTTGATGTTCGTCATTTTCAGGTTGAATTTTCATATTGGCCGTGATGTTTGCAATATGGTAGTACTCATAAAGTGTTCAGATGTGTATTAAATACTTATTCTGACAAAAATCTGGTTTGTGTTTTTTATTTCAAGGACTGTTCATATATATTGATTTTCATGTAAATAAATGTTTGATAGGCGGCCATTCAAGACACGACATGGGGTTGTTGTTGCATTAAACCAAGAATGTGTATGATTGGGAATACAAGGGACAACTCACAAACTGCAAAGCCTTATAAATTAAGTATATGAACAAGTTATAAAGCTATGAAACTGTAAAAAAATAAGTTTATATTTCAAAAATGAAAGACCGCAGACGCATAGTGCAAATGATTAGTTGCTGGGTAGGAAGATAGATTCCATGTAGCATAGAACTGAATATATATTGAGCAATTCCCTGTTGAAAGTTTGTGACAGGATGGCAGGCGCTATGTGCACTAATGTCTTAGAAACCACGTCTTGACTAGTGACTTAGTTGAGTTCGACACCGCTCTGACCTGTTTTTTAAGGTGTTTCACCGCATTTTATCTCGATGTGGGAGGAATGACTGTGAGTGAGTGAGCTTAGTTTTACGTCGCACTCATCAATATTCCAGCTATATGGCGATGGTCTGTGAATAATCTGGTGAATGTCTGGACCAGACCATCCAGTGACCAACAGCATGAGCATCGATCTACGCAACTGGAATACGATGACATATGTCAACTAAGTCAGTGAGCCTGACCACCCGATCCCGTTAGTCGCCTCTTACAACACGCATTTGGTGCTGAAGATCAATACTATAGCCCGGATCTTAACGGGTATATGAGGGAGGAAAGCCCAGTGAGGTAGGTCTTAGACGTTTATCACTTTTGTAAAACCCTCGAGCAAGTGTAGGTTGCTGTTAAACCAAGAAACACAATATGGCTTTCCTGGTATTCGCAGCCATAATCAAAAGTTTGTGACTCAATTCTGAACGGCGAACTGCAGCTCCATAATCGACGGATTTCCCCCTAAGTAGGAATAATATATGCTATTATATATGCCTTGCAGAATAAAACAGCCTGCGTGGATGTTCTAGTATTGTGCATGGTAATCTAATGTGCAAACACTTTGTCATGATTACCCACGATCTCACATGCACCAGATCATTTCGTACACAAAATCCCCTCCAGAAGAAATTCGTCACACTTTCACAGTACATGAAGGACTGAATAAATCGTTGAAACTGCAAACAACTGTGTTGTCGGCCAAACTTCGAACATACAAACGGTACCTGTAGCACAAGGTTGTCGGAAAGAGAAAGTGGTGATATATACATTTAAAAAAATCATATTTGCCAAGAACTAACGACACATCTGTGAGTGAATGTGGCATTTCAGTTGTATCAGCGCTGTCTGTATTTGGCCTAGGATATTATCTACGCGGAATTCAGCTGCTGTATCATACATTGTGGCTATTCTACTCCAATTGTCTGAAGCATGGATAGTGAAGACGTGTGACCACTCAGCAGCTTCAACGTATCAACTACATTTGACTTTAATAATAGGACATACAGTGGAATGTTTCAATAGTGTTTACTGTCATTATAGTCATATGGCGAGATGAGTTTAGAAAGTTCGTGGCATTTGCGAAATAAAGTAGATAATATATCAAGTATGACCTAGATCCAAAGCTGCCCATAATCTACTGGATTGTTTATGCGCTGTACAATTCACACTCAGTCAGTCCTTTTATCACAAATCACAGAGAAACCTGGTACAAAAACTAGTGACCTAATATTAGTTTACATATTTGCTTGCTAATTGAAACATTGCCGAATAATGTACTAATGATATAGAAACTAGATTGGCGGAACATTGATTACTAAATTTACACAAAACATTCAAATGTGAAATTCGTTTTTTTTAAAATACTTTTTATCTCATGTGATGTGAACTGATCTTTCAAGTATCTCGCTTTTAAATATTCAGAAGGTTTATAATGTAATATTGTAAGATATCACACACAAAATATATACGAACAGACACAAACACACACGCGCACACACACATGCAGCTGCTTCAAAGAAAAGTCCCTTAACGTGTTCTTCAGATTATTCGCTATTAGTTACATTTGGGTAAATGAATCAATGTTCACCGTATACTCTTTTCTACATTATTCAGTCATTATTATTGTTAGGCAGTATATCTCTTCTCGTTCAAGTATTTGTTAATTAGTTTGCCTTTGTCTTGGTCTCAGCAGAGCATGACATTACTCATTGGCGTCCGAACAATACATGTTTCGCATTTTATACTATTGATTCATGCATCCATTTATTAATAACTGAAACATACATGCATGGCGGTGAATCCATATTTGAGTATTGGCATTGAATATTTTGTCACATAGGCTTTGATGAAAGTCAACAAAAATTATGTAGTCCATGTTACTGGCATGTTTGAACTATTGCCGGTTACCTTGGCAATCTACAACAACCTTAAGGCATAGACACACTATCATTATCATCTCATTACCATTGTATCGACATGCTCAGTGTCGCGTCTGCATTGGTAACCCCTCTTCTCAAAACATACGCTTTATTACATGCTTTCTTTAAGTTTGAGTTGCATTAGCATAAAATTATAATTCCCCAGTTACGTCTTAATCACACGGCTCCCGTCCCCGGGAATGTACAATATTTGTTGAGTTTGACTGCACTTCGATCAGTTGCAGTGTACGGAGGGTCAGACGTGTACATGAAAGTACCCGAACTGTTCGTGTGTTTCCTGGAGTACGTGGACAGCCGGAAGGTTGTATAAGGAATATTGTTGGACATATAAATGAACGAAGCGATGGACGTTGTACGCATATACCTATTTGCAATTGCTCATTTGGGGATTTTCGTCGATTCGGCTTGTACTCGTTTCGTGGACTCGACAGGTTTGTAGAAAATATATGACAATTTTGATGTTGTCCGTTGTATTTTACTGCATTATGACTGCATATGATGAACCTTACCCATAAGAAGATATACATTGCCAGCTTTATATATTCTACATATTTCCATTAAATGATCTTTTATTAATTCTTTTATGAGGATTAATAAATTTAGTTAAATGTCAATGTATACACTTAATACTTTACCTATTTGTATGATGGAGGCACTGGATTTATATAATTACATAAATACATTCACATACTGTGTGTCATTAAGTCGATGCCTCAATAATCTTCTTCCTGGTTAACTGACTCATACCCTCGTTCACGGCCTCCTCACTAGACGTCGACATTGTGACAAGGACTGTCGCAGAATGTACCGTACAGTGCTCAGAACGGATTAGAATGTGGTAAAATTGTCAATACTGTACAAAACGAAGGCCAGTCATTAACAAACTATCAGTCTGTCTCACCCTGAACCACATTATTTTCCTTACTGCCTAACCCTCTCTGCAATGCTAAAGCCCGAAATGAAGCAAGTCCAGATTTCCTCAGGTTCTCTGGTCTCCTTTTCAATTTAAATGGGTTTGTTCGTTACTATCAAAATTATATATATTCAGAGACTAAGCGTTAGCCTAACAAACTATGTACTTTCAACTTTTCACTTCAATACCGTGAGGATCCGGGTTAAATCTGATCTTCAAAAACCCATGGTTGTCGTAAGAGGCGGCTAACGGGATCGAATGGTAAGTCTCGCTGACTCAGCGGACACCTATCCATATTGCGTAGATCGATGCTCATGATATTGATCACTGGATTGTCTTTTCCAGACTCGATTATTTACAGAGCCCCGCCATATAGCTGGAATATTGCTGAGCGCGGCATAAAACTAAAACTATCTCACTCACTCACCCCAATCGAACACTTTCAGTGAGATGAGACGTGTTCCACTTGAATACTCACCACAACAGTACAGGTGGTCGTGCCTTTACGCGTAGTTTTTAATAAGAAGGTGTTTTTCACAATCCACGCTTGAACAGTCACCGTGGTCTAAACCGACAATACCTTATGGTCATCTCCAAATAAAAACGAATAGATCGATAGGGCGAAGGCCCCCAGTCTGATTGTCACCCAATACTCAAATAATGATTGTTGTGATACAACCACTTCCGACCATATCAGTACCTGGGCCATTATTCTCGAAACTATCGTAGCCCTAAGAATCCTTAACTTTCATCGTAGCCACTGTGTTAAGAATGGGCTTAAGAAGTTCATAGGGCTACGAACGTTTCGAGAATTGCTAGCCTGGATTTAGAAACGCCTGTTTCTTCATCATACTGGCTTTCTTGTCTTGGCGTCGAATCCTCAGTATCGGAATCCTCCTCATGGAGTACCTGCCTCAATTCCTACAGATTTTGCACTGGAGGATCTGTAGCTGGAAGTCCATGACAGTCCCAGAGGTGTTCGTAGGGGTTAATATCGGGGCTCTTTGCGGGCCATGTTAATGTTTCGATGGTTTTGTTTTCCACATAGTCGATGTCGGCTCGAGAACGGCGAGGTCAAGCGTTGTCATTCATGATTATCAGATGACTGTCAAGGGGATGTTGATCAAAATGTGGCACGACGGCGTTATCTGGTTCTCTCTGTTGATTACGTTGGTCGTTGAGTGTTCCAGGCGCTGGAATAAGATCGAGCTGTCATACAATCAATCGCAATCCCAGTATCTCACACCATCACCGAACCACCACCAGTGGGATCATTTGCATGGATCATCTCTTGGTGATATGTCTCGTTACGCGACAACGGTCGCCGGAATATAACAACTTTAATCAGGCCCGTTTCCTCGAGGTCAGCAGCACGCCAGATGTACCTGTCTGTGAGGAAGGGACATCTGATCGATAGACGTTCCCTTAGACCAGCAAGCCGTAGTCTTTCCAGGTCTTGGACGAAAGTCTACGTCTTGCATTTTAAGAAATAATGTTTAATACTATGGTCTTTGTGTAGCTTGTCGCACACAACTTTTCGTGTATTCCAGTATTCTAGCGGATGATTCCCTTTTTGGACCAAAACTTTAAAACATTCTTTGGATTAAAGGATTTTAAAAAAAGGCACTTCACATTGTTTAGTTTCGCTCTTAATGAACCCCTGGGTATATATAATATTCACAAAATACAGTTAAAAACGGCAATATTTCATTATACAGCTTGTACTGGAAATCTAAAACGCACCTCCCAAGAAAGCATTTCGCGATTACGCAAGATAATGAGGCAGATGGTCACGTGGTCGCGTGACGTCATACCCGAGAGTTGCTACATCAACACACGGAAAATACAGTGGTACTGAGCCTTTTCGCTTACTGAGGTCTGCTTCTAGTTTAGCAAATAAATCAATCCACGAAGTCAAACCTGGATTTGGATGGCATACTATATACAGATAATATCACATACATACAACCTTTTCAATTTGAAAGTATTTCTAGCGGCAAGACCCACAAAAATATTGACGTCGATTCCGCCAGTTGACAACATACAGCCGTGGGACGATCCCGAACCCGACTATGTTTTGAATAGACCAACTGCACACTGGTATGCAAGTCACTTGCCTATCACATGTTCATGGAAAACTGATTAGATACTGAATTGATTTTTCCGCGGTCACGGTAAAATTTGCAGTCATGATAACGGCAATGTTCGATCAATGTGTTGAGCCTGTCTTCCGGTATACATCAGTATGGGAAGGTAAACACTGAAATAGTTACGTTCGAGGTTCATGATTTTTATAGTTATTAAGTAACTTTCCGCTTGATTTCATACAATGCGTCTCCTGCTAAATCTATCCGTAAAAGTTTAAGTATGGTGATAATTTTTTCCATGAAATACGTACCGTTACGGAAGTCGATAAGTTCGCTCTCACTACTGTATAGAGAAGTACACAAAATTCGTTAGTGTATGTTTTCGGAGAAGTCGGTGTATGGTCTCTGATATTGTGCATCAAACATCAGTTTTATTACATTTTCAATTTCCATACACGTGTAAAGCATCGGTGATATGTCGTGATACTTAGTCATATAAATCTGCAAAATATACATAAAATGTAAAATGTAAAAAGACCTGTACGTGTAACCTCCTTAACAGCTAATAATAGATATAATAAATACATATGGATGCAAAAAGTAGATCTGACAAATCCTTTTCTTTCTCTTTAACTGTCAGCTAGTGAAAAAGAAAATTCTTCATTGTGTTCTAGTAGTAATGTGTAAAGGCACAACTGGTTTCAGTTCACACCCTAGACACATATGCATGTTTTCATTTTTATCCCACCGGCATGTAATGCGGTGGGATATAGTCGTCGCCTCGTCCGTCTGTAATCATTTTGTTTCCGGAGCATAACTCAAACACCGTTTGATATTTTTCAGCAAAAATTGGTAGATATGTCAAACATAACCTAAGGTGGTGCCTTTTGCTATTTACAGATTATTGTCATTTTTATCTTTCCCGGTTTCCATGGAAACGGTTCGGACTTAGTCCCAAAAGTGAGGGGTCGGCTTCGTTTCCGGAGCATAACTCAAGAACCGTTCAATATTTTTCAACACAACTTGGTAGATATATCAAACAAAACCTTAAGTGGTGCCTTTTGCTATTTGCAAATTTTGGGCATTTTTATTTTTCCCGGTTTCCATGGAAACGATTCGGACTTAGTCCCAAAAGTGAGCGGTGGGCTTCGTTTCCGGAGCATAAGTCAAGAACCGTTCAATATTTTTTAACAAGACTTGGTAGATATATCAAACAGAACCTTAAGTGGTGTTTGCAGATTTTTGTGATTTTTTATTTTCTCGGTTTCCATAGAAACGATTCGGACTTAGTCTCAAAAGGGAGGGGTAGGTTTTGTTTCCGGAGAACAACTCAAAAACTTCGTAATATCTTTCAGTAACACTGTGGGCGGTGGGGTAGCCTAGTGGTTAAAGCGTTGGCTCGTCACGCCGAAGACCCGGTTCGAATCCCAACCTGGGTACAATGTGTGAAGCCCATTTCTGGTGTCCCCCGCCGTGATGTTGCTGGAATATTGCTAAAAGCGGCGTACAACCAAACTCAATCAGTCAGTTCAGTAAAACTTGGCAGATATATGAGGCAGATCTTGAAGTGGTGCCTTTTGCTATTTCCAGATTTTTGTCATTTATTTTTTTCATGATTTCCATGGAAACGATTTGCACTTAGTCTAAAATCAAGTTGGACTTGAAGTAACTGTCAGATGATTTGTTCTTTCAAAGATGTGGGGGCCGGGGGGATGTCATCTTCTGATGACTCTTGTATATCTTGATGTCAGTGAATTCACCAGTTCCTGTTTACTAGTTATAAATGAAAGTGTCTGGCAGAATATCCTGGAAAAATAGGCCTGTTGTTTCCTGCAAGTCTGTAGGAAGGAAACATGTTTCTTCTCTGAAAATGGCCCTGAGTAGGAGTTCCACATACTCTGTGAATAAATTTTACATTGAATTAGAGACATTTTGTAACACAAATTCAGTATATTTTGTTTTGGAAACCATAATATTAATTTTCGTTGAAATCTGCTCTAAAAAAGCAAGTACTTTTGTCTTAACAAATGCTGAGAGGGAAAAATATATATGAGGATTAGAAAACCAGTGTCTTTGCAAACAAGACTTACTGTTGACTCATTAGTTAGGGAAAAACATGCAGTAATAAGAACAGTGTTTGTTTTCAAACTAGAGTGTACCAGTTCAACCCAAAAAATATTGATTGTCTCAATTATATTTACCACGTGTTGGTTTCTTGTTCACTGGCTTGACCTCTTTGTTTAGGCCTAGGGGGTAGCTGATTGCCCGCTTGGGTTCTCCAGTCTTGGTCACTTCTGGGGTATTTAGGCTGTTTTCATTGATGTGAAATGCTGCCATGTCCTAAAAAATTGCATTAAAGTGGCATTTTTACATTTGCCAAAAACAAAACCCACAAAGAAATACATTATCTGAATGAACATATTTCCCTGATTTCCCATTTTTGAAAGTGGGTTAAAAGTTACCTATATATACAGCTGCCATGATGTTTTCACAAGGGGTCCATAAATACCTAAGTTTTATGCCAGTGGAGAGCAGTCATTTTCATTTTATTTATTGTACATTGCCTTAACGAGAGAAAGAGTGAGAGGCAACATTTTAATCATGCCCTAACACACACACCCGCACACACACACACACCGCAATTCAAATACCTTTTTAACATGGTTAGGGACCAGTGTCTGGTGGATAATTATCTGATATGACTCATTTTTAATCATGTTTTAATAATTATGTGCTCTCTCTCACCATCGCACCCATATGTTGCAAATTCTTATTTGTCCATGCCCAACCCCATGCCCACTCCCTCCACACACACTCACACCACAACACACCCGTCTCGGGAAATAGATGACGTGGCCCGACTAAGTAACAGTCACACAAACAGTGGCTGTGAAAATATATCTCTGATCGAAAATAGGACACGAGCGCAAATTATGACGTACCTTTTCATCAACTATTGCTTGAAATAGCTAGCTACTGGAGTGTTTATGTTGCTCCAAAACAACTACATCTTAAAACTCACCTACAACCAACGTCGCGTCCGGAATGCAACTCTCTCGGTGTCAGTCTCAAGTTGACATTTCGCCCTCTGTGTTTGCGTGGAATGTCGAAAGGAATGCCCGATATATAGCATCCTTATAAAATTTAAGTTTTGCCTATTCGTATAGATCTATATTTTGCCAGAGGTTAGGTCTCTTTCATAGCACTTCTTCGGAAAGTGTAACGAACTCAGATGACCGTGCGTGGAGGGGTTCACAAAATCCGCACGACGACAGTAAACAATCTATGCCCTTTCTCTTGTCAAATAGAATTTCTCAGGAAATGTATCGATACATCCGTGTTGTTTACGCAGTTGGATAATCATCAAAACTCGAAGTGCAGTTGTCAGTTTCCAATACATAATCACAGCAACACTTCATTCAAACTATTGCGCTTCGTGTCACTTTCAACTCGATGGCCTATACACTACTGAAATGTCAACACACTGAACGGACTCTCGGGTATGACGTCATACCCACAGACGGCAGACCGCTAAAAATAAAAATATGCATACGGGCTGGGCTAAAGTGGTTTTCGTTTTGGTGCATATTTATATTTTTTATGACTATTTTTCGTAAATGGATGGTGCAGATGTGGTATATATTCATGTTTGAATGGTATTATGTAATAAAAATGCATAGTGTTTAACCTTTTTAAAAATCCTTAAAGGTCAATGAATGCTCATGCGAATAGTTCAGGAATAGAAACTCAAGCAGAAGAAACATTCTTTGTTTTCTTTTTCGTTTATTCCACCCTCACAAAAAATGCCAACCAAAAATACATCAGCTGGATTTCACTGTTGAGCCAGTTATTGCCCAAAATGCTGCAGTTGTTGTTTCCCATTGCTTTTGTTAATGATGCGAGACACAGCGCAGACAGTCATGGATAGGGAATTAGGGATTATTACCCATACGGGCTAGGATACACAGGTGATTATTTTGTGATAATCGCACATGTGCTTTTCGGTGATTCTCAACGTTGATTGGTCAGCTAAGCAGCGAGACGAAATATGATTAGTTGACGGAACTACCTTTCACGATCCAAGTTCATTGACAAATTTTACAGTTTGAACTCATTTATAATTAGAACGTGCTGTACTCACCGTCACATTCCGAGATTTAAAAAGGAAAACATAAAGGTTAAAGAATATGAATACTCATTTTATCGGGCATTATTTTGCAATAAAATTGTATTATAAATAATAGTCTTCTTAAAATAAATAACCTTACAAAAATCAACAACAATCTTTTGCATTGTTTGTAAACAAACATGGTCGCCATTAGGCTAACCCCGATCCGAAAACGTCTCATCCAAACCCTCTCTGACAATGGTGTACCAGCACATCAAATCATGCAAATTTCCGGGCACAAATATGTTCAATCTATAAACAGTTACTCTTCAATTAATGAGAAACAACATCAGTCCATCAATGAATTGTTATCAAACCCTTGTAACTCCACCACAGGCTCCACAGAGGCGTATTCTTCACATTGACTCGGATTCCGAATAGAGTTATCCTTCTTTGAACTGCTGTACTCTAATGGGACCAATTACCAAAACCTTTTCTGTCTTCTAGATTTCCGGAGTTTTAACCGTTGACTTTCCCCAAAATTGACAGGTTTTTGCCAAAGTGTGTTTCAACACTACACCGTCACTCGTCACTAGACACAAGTCAGTCGTGAATGAACGAGCACTGACTTGATCAAATAACGTTTTAGCTGTTATTAAGTTCGATGATTTTGCATTTAAAAGATCAATTTTATCACATTAACACATGTTCAATTATTCTATAAAAATAGTTCTGTTGTATTTTAAAGCGATGATTTTACGAGGTACTAGTTTCATAGCGTAGTTATTGCCGCTGGGAACTTAGGTTTAATACGCGCATGAATACGAATCAGCTGTTTGAGGTCATAAGTCCTGTCTCTGGGTGGATTTTGTTTCGTGGTTCTTTTTTCTAACTTACATTATGGGTTAAAATAGAATAACCAACTCGGTACGAGTGATTAATGAAAATATGCCCTCGTTAAAATAATGTTCAGTGCATATTTCCCGTAATCACTCGTAACTCGTTGGTTATTCGCTAAATGGTGCCCCGCCAATTGGAAACGATTCGATTCGGCACTAAAGAGGCGTTAAACGACTGCTTGATATGGACAAAGTGATGCAAGGTTGTCTGTTAAAATTGTGAACGAATTGTATCAAAACCCGCCAAACAATAACTTTCCGGGACACACGTGGATATTATGATCATGTCTTATCACTGCTAACTTAGTACAAACCATCTCGGGATTTTCATTACTGTTATATGTGCACTGTTATGTTGACACACTTTGATATACTGGCGTAATTTCTGGTGTTTCAAACTAGAACTACTCCAAAAGACAAGTTGAAACCCTTTGTTATTTTGATTTTTAAACATATAAGCTGGTTACTATGTATTATGATAAATGTTCAGTACACGTAACTAAAAATAACATCCTCACTTCAACATCATTTTCGGATTGAACCTAAACAATCGTGTGGTTTATACATAAGGTACATGAACATTTGGCATTCATGTGTTGTGTGGTGAACGCTACATTTACCAAACAGTCGTAATGCTGTTACCCATTTGTTTCTTTGTTTGCTTGTTGTTTAACGCCGAACTCAGCAATATTCCAGCTATATGGCGGCGGTCTGTAAATAATCGAATCTGGACCAGACAATCCAGTGATCAACATCATGAGCATCGATATACGCAATTGGGATACGACATGTGTCAACCAAGTCAGCGAGCCTGACCACCCGATCCCGTTAGTCCCGTTTTAGTATAAGCATGGGTTGCTGAAGGCCAATACTGACCCGGATATCTGTCTCTAATATGTTATACCACAACACATTTTGACCACGATCGAAAGAGTGACATGTTCACATTGCCATGTCCTTTGATATTCGCAGCAAAACTCTAAAACAGAACCGCCCACAATGATAGATCCTGATGCTCAAACACGACCGATTCGATTTTTGTGACAAATTAAACAAACTGTAGTGGTTTATACCTTATAATAGAGATATCTGAAGTATCCAACGTGGTACGAAGTTTATTTGTCTTTGGGGATCATGTCGCTATCACAATCAGCTCAGGTATGTCTAATATCAATTTTAAGTCACTGTTCTAAATCGAACAGGGGCTTTAAGACATTCCTTTTAAATACATAAACATGGTTAATATATTATCTTTATTATTATTTCAAGATTATAATGAGATTATTATTATTCCAAGGGACTTCACTTGGGCAGTATGAACTGCATCTCCTCCTGGGCAAGATGTGTCTCCATCCGGGTTCGTCATTGATTTTTGTTGGTCAAACATCTTTGAGTAAGTTCATTTTCTTTCATTTAAATTTACTTCAAATTCAAGAAAGGTAATCCTGTGGCATTGATGGTGAGGGAATATATTTTTATGCACATTTGTAATGGTAAATGTATCTATGAAATATGTTATAGTGTTTCTAATTCTATTTTGCATTTCCATTTTTTCAACAGGAAGTGCCATTCAAGACACTATTGAGGACTGGGTTACACATCATAGCGTGACTACTATGTTTTTAGAAATGCATGTATTTGAGACGAGTCTAGCTGGATTAATTCAGCAAACTATCCAGAAAAAGAACCAGAAGAACCAACTTTATCACAAATTGTTCAACTTTGTGGTATTTTGTGACGGCGTCGATAACTGCTTGCCACGAATCACAAATATCGTACGTTTATCAAATACATATCTGAGAGTTTCGATTGATAAACATCCTTGTGTCAGATGTAAGTTCGTCTGTTTAAAGCCAACATACAAACGTTAATTCTATACATACTCAAAGGTAAAAGTTATTGTGACACACAGACAATAATATAAACAACCCAGACAGTGTTAAACTCTCAATGCCGCGAATGGAATGCTATTGCATAGAAAGACAAATGCTTCAAAGTATGATCCCGATCCACAGTCCATAAGAACAGCGCCCCCAGCATATGCAAATGATACAGATCGCAAGAGGCGGTTCACAAGCCAGTTCACAGGTCAGTAGCGAATGTGTTTACCTTGTCCATTGATGCTGCCCGCTCAACGTCGAAGAATATTCTGGGGAAGATAATTCCATATATTCCTCGATAGGATTTGGTTAAAGTTGACGCAGTATTGTTGGATGATTCGGGTGATACCGTAAACCTCGCTCCATTTCATTATAGACGTGTTCAGTGAGTGACAAATCAGACAAGAGGGTAACAAATTAATATTGCTCTGATTAAGATATGTGAGTGAGTGAGTTAGGTTTTCGCCGCACTCAGTAATATTCGAGCTATATGGCGGCGGTCTGTAAATAAACGAGTCTGGACCAGACAAGCCAGGGATCAACAGCATGAGCATCGATCTACGTGTTGATATGTACATGTGTTGAAAATGATGTGTCTATGGACGCTAACTTTTTAAGGCTACTGGAATGATAAGCGTCTGGTAGTCTGAGCTTTCAAACTAAACAATGCCGGCCATTTTGCACAAAAATGCCTTGCTTCCTGCAAATTTCGTGCTATTCAAACAACACCTGCTCGGAGGGGTTTCTTTTACTGTTTTGATACACTCTTTCTCTGGTTCAGAACCAAAAATTAATTCACAAGATTACCAATGAAAAAGTTCCACGTCACAATAACTTTTGCTTGAGTATATATCTACATGAATTGGTCTGCCGTAGTCGTCCATAAAAGACTTCCAATCCCAAAATACAAACGTTAATGTAATATATCCGCATAATTTTTTTTATCTGCTGAAGTCGTCCAGGAAAGACAAGGAATACGGTAAACGAACACTGCTACGACATTTTTCAAAATGGTTGCTCCTGAATGTGAAACCACCAGTATTGTCAGAAGTGCATGCTGATATGGACAACATAGCCATAGCAGTCAAGGTAATCAGAACAATACAATGAATCAGTTAAGATAAACTGACATTAAACGTGTTCAAAATATTTTGATTTTGTCAACTATCATATGCCAGCACTCACTGGGTATTCTACTACTGATTATCATTTATCTCCTAAAGTGTTTTTTTCGTTTAATTTTAGGAAACGAATGCATCTGGTCGCACATATGTGAAAGTCATCACTCTTCTGTGGAAGCCAAATAGCAGGAAATGGTCGCAGATCGGTGACTTTATGAATAACGGAGACATTCGCCCCTTCTTCAATGCTACTCTCTTCCCAAATTCGGAACTCATGCTGAATGGAAGAAAACTGAAAATTGGCATCTTAGAGGTAAACAACGAGACTTTAAAAAGGTGTAACAGTTTTAAACAAACGCTGTTTGGTTAATGTATACACATGGAAAAATATCACAACACCCCATATTTCTCACAGTATCAGTATGTTACCATAGCAAAGCGACTTGTCCAAACCTCCATTTAACCTACTGTACAGATACATTTACCCTCAGGATCAACAATTAAATGGCAAACGCCTTATGAGCGAAAAGCTGTTGTTTATTCACATAAGCAAACACAGCCAAAAATTAAATCATATTGTCGTGCTGATACCTATGGTCGTAAGGCGTTAACAAGTGCGGACATTTTCAAGATTCTGGCATGCCATCAACATGTTATAAGAAATCACATGAGTATCAATGTCAGTTTCTAGTGTAACACCCGCCAATTGCAATAACACCATTGACTCTCCTCATTTTCTGTATCAGACGATGAATTTGACATTGAGGTAAAATTCTTGATGGAGAGTTGGTTCCAATACATCAATATTTTGCACTGGAGGACCTCTTTGGCGTATTCTGCGATGCATAGTGTCCGAGACATGCTCAATTGGATTGAAATATGGACTACTGGCGGACGGGCCAAGGTAGAGTTGCTACCCACTCTTGAAATCACCATCGGTGGTGTGGTCTATCATTGAAAACTGGCCTTGTGTTCAGAGGATGGCTATCGAAATGTCTGGGATGTAAGTGATGTACCGTTGTCCATTCAGATTTTGTCTGATCGTCACAAGGTCAAGTTTACATTTACGTGAGAGCCACTGTGTAGTTAAAACGCCACTTGACATGAACAGATGAAGATTTGTGATTCTGCGAGGAACTGTATCCACCAAGGGCCCACTGACAGTCTTAAATGACATGTGTTTGCTGATGTTTTCCGGCCAATCGGCTGATAGTCGATGTATGACAACAAACATGTCTGGCAATAGCCAGATGTCTCAACATTCCGCATAACTTGCCATCTTTGAACTAGAACACGTGTCAGTTGAGGAGGGTCCGTATCTGCTTATCAACAACGAAATCAATTGATTTTACAAGCTATCGAGCTGTAGAGCATTTTACTGAAACTTGATATCTGCTAAATGAATGTGCACGTATTGTACGTGATGCTCGCCTTTGATCATAGCACGTGCACATCTAAAATCAATGTATGGTGCGCCCGATGAGTCAAAATAATCACGCAAACAAACATAACGATGATCAGAATAGAAATACCTACATGGGGGGTTAAAAATCATAAGTGTGCTGCGATACTTTTTCCATGTATATATCACATACAAGAGGTTATATGAAACCTATTTTTGTTATCAAATTTTAAAAAATGTAAAAAAATATATACATAAATGGAATAAATTGCCAAACGTCAACCATGAAACTAAAATTCGATTTAAGTAACAGGAAAAGCTGATACACGTGTCCGAAACATTACCAATCAGTGGACTAGGTTTTCAGAAAAAAAAATATTTATAGAAAATAGGTATGTGTTCAGGGTAAATGGACATCTTCCTAAGCCCAAACATGCAGAGGATCATTCTTTGATATAAACGTGTTTTCTGCAGTGGGGGCAGTTTTGCACGAAATCAACTTGGCGAACGAATGGCTCAATTATGTACACTGGTGTCTGCAAGGATTTATTCGACAGCCTTGCCGAATGTCTCAATTTTACGTACGTATTACAATATTCCGATTCCCATTATTTGTAAGTATTATGTTTACTATGTATGCTGCAAATGCTTACTATACAGTTCATACAGTTCAATCATATCAACATCAAATGGTTGCTAAACAATTAATACTATACTATTGAACAGAAACTAATCTCAAGTACAAATATAGTTGCAAGCAACGGTGAGGTCTCCTTGGCTTTAGTTCTATCCATTGTATTTGAGGGCAAGAAATCATCGTCAAACACGGAGCCAGAACACGTTTTTGACAGGCGAGCGGATCTTCTAAAAACAGCCCGGGTAGCGGGGGTGATGTACCTATTAAGAAGTTCTGGAGAGGAAATAGTTCCCTCTTTAAAATGCTGTATCTCAGTTGCTCTTGGGTCTACTGTCAAAACAATTAGTGTTCTGGAATCACCAAGAATGGTTACTGGACATCAGTTATGGAAAGTTTGGAATGTCTAGAGCTGATGGTTTGGGACACATTTTGGGAGCAAACTACTCAGAAAACTGCTGAAAAACATGTTAAAAACTGAAAAGAAAAATAACTGCCAAACGGTACGTTTTAGCGACTTGACCAGTCCGGTCAAAATTGTTGGGAATTCGATTGTACATCTGTACAAGAGATGTGGAAGTGTTGGAACAATTAGTTCTTGAGATATATGCTGTCAAACTTTGAAATTTTGGAATTAATTTTGAATTATCTCCCCTTTGCTATTGGGCCTAGAGCATAGAGATTTTTAAGGAGAATATCTACACCACGGTGCGGTTCGGGGCATTGGTTTAGGAGTTATGTTTGTTACAGAAATCGGCGGAATAATAAATAACAATAATAATAATAATAATGATAATAATCCGAACGATTACAATAGGTCTCCTGCCTTGAGGCAAGGAGCCCTAATAATATTGATATATAGTTCGCTAAGCTGTAATTATAACTCACCCACATGTTTCACTTTCACTTCAGGTATGAACTGATGGAGCCGCCTGACCAATCTTGGGGTGAACTGTCAGAAACGTGGAGCGGTCTTCTAGGCATGGTAGCACGAAATGTAAGGAGAGAATGTTTAGAGTCAAACTGTTTGCAAGCGTGGATCCATTGGGAAATTTCACATAAAGTCACTTCCACCTTCTTCTTTTTAGGATATCGACCTTGCTGGAGTACCTTATGGAATCACACTGAAAAGATCCGAGAGTTTTTCATTTCCTCATATCATGTACCAATCAGAATGCGAGGTGGCTCATAAGAAACTGTCAAATGTTGACAACAGTTGGATGTTGCTGTTGTCTTGTTTTAAAAAGGAAGTGTATCTATGCGGACTCCTAGCAATGGCATGGTGTGTAGGACTCTATATATTAATGGAACGATACAGTGTTGTAGAGTTTATCAAGGCAGGGGCGATCTCCACATGTCCACCAGCAGCATCAGAGGACGTCATGACGGCGGTTCGCGTGCCACTGCATCAAGGTAACCAAACCGTCGCAGGGAGAGAGAGGGACACGTTGGACACCGTTAAAAGCACAATTTCACACATTTTCCACAATGTTCTTGCCGATATTATATATATTGGGGCATATACACTCACTTTAGCTTCCAACTGATGCAATGAAAGACTTATAATCCCTTACGATTTGCCTGAAATCGATAATTGAAACTTCGAGGCGAACAGCTTCCAGAGAATACTTGCTGTTTATGGAAAGTAAACAATTGCTCGTACATCGAAAACTGTCGCACGCGGTGTTGTCAGTGTTTGCCCAATTGGTTTCAATCACAAATTGCGCGTATGGTTTTGTCTGGGACTGAGTTCTGACACCAAAGAACTTATAGAATAATCGTAAAGAGCGCTCTGGAGGGGACAAAACTCTATGGGGCTCGCTTGAAATAATGTTCGGCCAGTTGCATTAATTCATAAATTTATTAATGAATTTATGTTGTAACTAAATACGTGTTTTTGTTTGGAATAAATTATATGGTAGCTTAACTGTGAGCTGATAGTTAGTATTATTGAGAGAAACGTGAAATAGTGCCTTTAAGGGCTTCTCATGCAGTACACAAATGGGTTGTGACGCCATCACCAGTCAGTCCGACGTCCCACCTCTGTTTATTAGTAAACAACGAAATAAGAACATATAAATCTCTGGGCGAACTATTTTCATCAAGTGATGACGCCGAAGTATTGATCATCGGAGGATCTTCCGTCGCTGTGGGGTAGACTTGTGGTAAACTCATTCGCTCGTCACAAAGAAGACCCGGTATCAATTCCCAACATGTTTGCGATGTGTGAAGCCCGTTGTTGGTGTCACCTCGACGCCATATTGTTGGTTGGAAAGTTGCTAAAAACGGTGTAAAACCAGACTCGCTCACTATCCGCCGGTCATGTTTACACTTATACATATGCTACAATTTCATGATAATTACGTTAAGCCGAAAAAAGTTTGAAATTCCAAAATGACAACCCTGTGATCTCTTGGATACTATGAACTTTCAACGAGAAATATATACTTGATAATGCGAAGTAGACACATTTCCAAACACGCATTAAGAAACGTTGACAAAGGACTCAACTGAGGAATATATTATACTGATTCTGTTCTGTGGTTACTTGAACACTTCAAATGGCATTACTAATTCATAATAGAAAGTTTCCATCAAAATGTTAATGAATTCATACGATTGTATGTTTTACACGATTTGACACAATCCTAACTTGTGCGCCTGTCTGAACAGGTTAGAAACTTTCAACAGGAAATACCATATTTGCCTGTCACGTAGGTGTCACAAAAAATATAATTTATGCTTTATTCCCTTCAATAACTGACTTTACTTTTGAGATGTAATCAAGCAAAGGAATGCAAATTTTATATGCTGTAAATCAGTAAATTGATGTGCTATCTCTTGACTCCTTGTGGAGTGAGAGCAATGCCTTTGGTATCTGAATTTCTTAAACACAGAAGCATATTAATCATTAGAAAACATTACATCCACAGGTTCGCTGCATCCCCCTCAGCATACACCAGGCCGCATATTATACGCAAGCTGGTGGCTGTTTTGCATCATCATCCTAGCGGTTTACACGGGGAATCTGGTTGCAATTTTATCAGTGGTAGAACAAAATATACCCTTCAATACCATAGATGAGCTGGCAGAAAATGGTGATTTCAAGATTCTCATTTCTAAAGGGTCATTTCAGGAAGATATGTACAAGGTACGTAGCATAGTTGTTATGTTAAGTTTCTTGTTGTTTTGTAAAGGCTCACATAGGTTATGGAGAGGCACTTCAGCTAGCTGGAGGTATCATACATCGATACATTTCTGGGACGATGGGGCAGCCTAGTGGTAAAAGCGTTCGCTCGTCACACCGAAGGCCTGGGTTCGATTCTACACAACGGTACAATGCGCAAAGGACATTTCTGGTGTCCTTGCTTTTATTGCTGAAATTTTACTAAAAGCGGCGTACAATAAACTCACTGACTTGCACAATACATTTCTACTTAAATCACACGGTGTATATGTATTTTGATGTCTAGATTCCCGAAGTATTTCTTTCAGTTGATTTCCAACAAATGTGCTTTTCAGCATTCTAACGATAGTGTTAGTAAGAAGATATGGAGAAAAGTATTGGAAACCCGATCGACAAAGACCCTGAGCTCCTTGGACGAGGATCATCACTATAAGATGCTCCTACAGTCTGGCTACTACGCATACATTGCCAGTTCCAACACGATTGATGGTATAGAAAAGTCAGTGGATAACCTCCGAAGGGTGAAATGTAGTGCTGGTCCAAACTATCTAAGCTTGCCTTTCCCCGCCAATTCCCCTCTTGCGGAGTTATTTTCAGACAAGTAAGTCCTACCAACGCGCATATTCATCTTTAAAAGACACCCCAAGACAAATACAACGTATCTATCCAGTGATGTGTGTATTGGTTGAGTATTAAACTCTACGTAACACTGTTTCAGAATCAGACGCCTGTATGAAAACGGGCTGTTGGAAGAATGGGCAAGAAAATGGTCCCTCAAAAAACAGGATGAACCTGCACATGCAAAGATGAAGGTTGGCATCAGTGACATGTTGAGTGCTTTGACCATGTGTGCATCAGGAATTGCTGTAGCCTTCATTATATTAGGAATAGAACGTTTTCTTACCAACCGTATGAAGAAAGAATGATCGGATATTCCCCAACAACGTGCACATATATGTACGATAGTTTTAGTTACAATTGTTGTCCTTTTCTTTGTGTCGGTTCGTCCTGTTCTATGTGCCAGACAACTGGACGTGGGATGATCATATCGTTTGAATATATCGAATGTTAACTTTTTTATGAACAATCATGTATATCGATCCATTCCATCTGTTTAGAGTGAAAAGGCACCTGAAATATGTCACAGGCATCCTATGATTGTGTCTGCGAACACTGTAAATTTAGAACAGAAGTCTCAAGGAATAACTTCCTCCTAAAGATTTGTTGTAGGGGCGAAAGAAACTATTCTAAATGTGTGAACATGTGTATGACGCTGTTATAGTCGGGTGCCTAGTTTGCATGCTTCAAATAGAGATGTATTCTGTGGCATAATTTGAGAAAAATCTACCAAATCAGTTGGCAGAAAAACCTGCGAGATACGCACAATGAACACCCGATGTTGCGTTTTGGAAAATTGTGTCAAGTCGACCCAAGTATAATTCTTTATCCATCTGTATGTGGTTATGTTGCAGTGTCATATTTTTGTGTAATTACGGTATTGTCTTTAGACAGTTTAGTTGTGGTATTTTTATCAGATTATACAACCGAAGGTATTTGTCTCCAGCCTGATTGTCACAAGCTGGATCTGGGCTGGCTAGCTTTATTGTTCTACTGTGGGAGTGCAGGGTGTTCTTTTGTCCTTCTTTCAGCGGGCAACCTATTCTTTGTTCTCTAATTGGTAAGTTCATTTTCTTCACTAACACCAGCACTTTAAAAGTCAACCTCATACAGCTGCACAAGAGAGTCACCTTAAGCAGACTTTTGACATTTTGACTGACTTCTCAGTTCTTCTCCTTCTGCGCTACAACTTGGAAAGACTTCCGCCCGTGTTCCCCCTTAAATTTCACATGAGTCAACTCATATCACCTGAATATATATATTCCTCATCGAATAAGGATGAATTTTTACATGTTTCTTTAATTGTATCTGAAGATACGGAAAGACACATCCAACTTCTAAAAGTGCCGCTCAAAGAAATTGGTATTCATCGTTAACATTTAGGGGGGATACGGGCGGAAGTCTTACCCATATGCCATTGGATGAGAGGATGCTTTTAAGTGCACAGGGTTGTGTTCTGTACACAAGGAGTTGTGAAAAGACTGAAAGAGCCTGTAAGAAGGTTACA